TGATTTGGTCGCCGAACCTCCGGGGCTTAGGCCGAAACAATTCTAGTGTTGATTCTTTAATTTCTGTACTTTATGTTTCTGTTCTTTGGTTTAATATTGTGTGTCCTGGCCTTACAACGTTCAATGCAATGCAAATTATAGTTGAATCAATAAAGAAAAAAATTGAAATAGTTTCTCATCAGATGCCTGAGTTTCAGGTTTTCTTTAATGATCGGACCTCCAACGATTTCAATACCTTTTTGCTTCACTTCCCCCGGAAAGACAATACTATATAGCAGGAGTTCTCGGTTCATTTCATAGTCGCGAGTTCCCTAAAGCCTCCCTTCACTTTGCTTATTCGTCTTGTGCACTTACCCTTTCTGAGATTCTGAAAGAAGTGTTGGATCCCTTGTCTCCTGCCTGGAATAAAGGGAGAATTTCGTATTATGGAGAGAAAAATGAAGTTTTCAATGCTTTTCAGCTCAATTTGCGAAAGGTTTGGACTCATTCTTAAAAGCAAGGGCAGAAGAGTTGGTTGATGGAGGGCTACTGGCTTTTATCCATGGTGTTGAGCCCAATGCTAATAAGGACACCTCTAAAATTACATTATCGTATTTCGAACTTTTGGGATCTTGTCTTGTGGACTTGGCTAAGAAGGTAAACACTGACATTCATTTATTTTTGAATAGCCTTAATTTTCCTAACCAATATAACAAATAATGTTGCAGGGACTATTTGATATATCCAAAGTAGACTCATTCAACTTGCCCAAGTATTTTCCCTTTCATGATGAAGTGAAAGCTTTAGTACAAAGAAATCAAGATTTCAGTCTCAAAGGGATGGAGATACTTGACAATCCACCAAAGCGTCTCACTAATCCCGATCCCAAATCATTTTCCATGTTCATGCGAGTATTGATTGAGGGACTTCTGCAAAATCATTTTGGAAGCGAAATCATGGATGAATTATTCAAGAAATACGGAGAAAAAGTTGAAGAGTCTAGACTTCTATCGGATCCTAATGAAAATTCTCTGATGGCACTTGTCCTTCTCAAGCGCAAAAGGATGACTCGAACTTATAGAGACAATGAAGTCGTCCTTTGATTTTAGCTCTTTTCCTTTTTAATTTACTTATGTCGGACATCTCCACCTCAACATCTTTCTTCGTTCAATACTAATATGTTGTGCTTGGACAATCTCAACTTTTTAATAAGGATGATACTAACTACATTTGTACAATTCTCCCATCTATAATCATAATACGCACCTTCTTGTTACTATAGCCCCTAGTATGAAAAAAGTTCCCTCTCTATTACTCTATATCATCCACCTTAATTTGTGTACTAAGAGCATTCTTTGCAAACAGTACTTCACCTTCCACTAGGTATTCTACTCCATCATCATCACTAACATTCTCCAACTTGGACATCTCATCACTATCATTCTCATCCTCAGTTACCACTTTCACATTGTCACGTATAATCATTGCCCTTTTTTAGGCCTTGACCTGCAATTTGTTTCGAACCCAAACATTTAGAACATTTGATATGCCTATTCCTAAAAGGTTGGAAATCTGACTTGGGTTTGTAAAATGCAAACTACCTCTTATTTTCCCTTAGGTGGTTCGATCTTACTATTTGAAACAATCTCATCACTTCTATCATCATTATCATCATCATCATCATTATTATTACCCCACTTCGGTCTCTAAGGAGGATTAGAACCCAAATAATACTTTAATGTTCCTTTTTCTTTCCAATTGCCTCTCTACCTTAATAGTCATATGCACAATTTCCTCCAACTCTGAATAGTGCTATAACTCAACTACATTGGCTATATCCCTATTTAATCCATTCAAAATCTGACCATTGTGGCCTCCCTATCCTCCAGAACATTAGTCCAAATTAAAGCTATCTCCATCTCCTTATGTTAATCCTCTATACTCCTTGAACCTTAAGTAAGGCTCTGCAATTTAAATAAAAGGTCCCTATAATAATGACTAGGTACAAATCTCCTCATCATGAGAGTTTTTAATTCACCTAATTTTCATATTTCTCTCATTATTTCTCATCCTATTTGTCACTAATTGATTCCACCATATTATTGCATAATAAGTGAATTCAACCACCGCCGCTTCACCCTTTTCCACTCAGAATATTCATGGCAATCAAAGATCAATTCCGACTTCTTCTTCAATTCCAAATAAACTTAAGACTATTTCTACTTTGTAAAGAAGGTATTTTCATTTTATACTATCCAAGTTTGAATCAACTCTATTTCCATGTCGGTCTTTCAGGTCTTCTCTAAGTCCCCTTTCAAGCCTATCTCCTTTATTGCTCATCATACCCGCTTAAGCCACCTAGATTCAGTCATCCTTATTATCACTTTCTACTTTATTCTCATCATTAAATTCAGTTGTAGGGATAGGATCACGCCTATGTTGCCTCCTAACATTAAGAACTCTTTTTGGTAGCCCCTTTGTAAGTTAGTAATCAATGTATCCTACATATTCATTCTATCCCTCATTTATCCAAAATCCATATTCATCCTCTCAAATTGTTGTTATATTGTTTACAACATAAAGAATTGGTTGTTCTCTTTCCTAGATGTTGAATCTCCATTGTCTGAAATTTTTAATAACTATGAAAAGTAACCTCACGTGTTTATTCTCAAATGTTTCACTCTATATGTTAAGTTCATCACTCTTGTATTTTTTTTTTCCCTCTTCATGCTTTCTTTGTCAAGTTCTCTAAAGAACTAAGGCCTTATTTGTTTCGGATTAAAATCAAATTTTAATCTATGTCAAAGTCAAACAATCAATATTAACCATATCTTTCAAGGATCCCACAGCTTTTCAACCACACATTTCAAAAACTTCTATCACAATCTACTAAAAATCTAATTTTAATCACCACCAAACACTCATTAAATAAATCCAATCAAGAATTCCGTCTTTGCGATATCCAACTTATGAAATAAGAAGGATAACAAAACTCGATCAAAGATTTAAGAAAGAAAGATCACAAGAAAAATGAAAAACACCACAAGAAATTCAAGAAAAGATTTCCTGAAATTCGTTTATGCCTTTTTCACCATAAGATCAATTTTCAATGATGATTTATATATCAAATAGTAATAAAGATGGTGTTTCTTGAAAAATAAAAAATAAATAAATAAAATTGTGTTGGTGCACTAGGATTAATGAACTAAACAATTTTTGAATGTTCTTGCTGCAAATTTTTTTTTTTATGTAAATGACTCAAAGAATATGATGAAGACTCAACGAAAAAGACACAAGAAATTAGAACTTGAAAATAAACAGGAAGTTAAAAAATGAAACTTGATTTTAGAGCCAAAGATCTGATACCAATTGATGTTATCCTTTGTACATGATGTACCCAGAACATAACAAGATTAATATAAATTTCAAGAAAAAGTTAAAATTATGTGAAGAACCTTGACCCAATGATTTCTTGAATCAAGAACCAAGGGTGGAAGGATTGACCATAATATATTTCCTGTATTTTGTTTGTACAATGAATTCCCTATATAGGTGAACATAAAGAAATCCTATTCTACTCGAAAAATATCAAAATAAACTTAAACAAATATAGTCCAAAACAAACTAAACAATAAATCTCGTAGGTCCAGCTTATTAATGCCATGTGTGCACATGGTTCAATGAAATGCTGTCGAATTTTGAATTTTTGATGTTTGTGTGGGCATGGCTTTCTAAATCAGCTTCCTCTTCCTTAACTTGAATCAAATGCACTAATTTTGGTTCTTCCTTCATGCCCATCATGAAAAATTGTGTCTTGCTCATTGCACTTGAACTCTTGGCTCACGTTGCTTAGACAAGTCTTTGTATCATTTCCTTGGTCTTCTTTGCTTTTAATTTTATTATTGGTCCATTCGGAACATATGAATGATCTTTGGTAGCCGATCCTCCATGATACTCATCAATAAATTACATAAAATGAAAAGTGTTACACCAAATTTGACGCAACACTGTTCATTACTCCAATTTGATGTCAAAATATGAAGTTGGGTTTGAGGGAATTTTAGCCCTTGTTTGGCCCTATTATAATAAAAATTTTGGAAAAACGTATTTTGAAATAATAATTTTTTGAAGAATGTGCGGTTAAAAAAGAATGAAAAGTTTTGGTTTTAGTGTGATATTATTTTATTTGAAAATATGTGATTGAAAACTAAATTATAATTTTAATGGAGCCAAACAAGCTCTGAGTACCAATTTGGCATTTTAAGCCAAATTGGTGTATATGTTGAAGTTGCCCTTAATACTATTTAATCTCCCTTATGGAGCAGATCAGCAAAAGACTTTACATGTATTGAAGGAAAAAAGACGAGCGTCCTCAACCTCGCACAATGAAACTAGGAGGCAGCCCGGCAGATTCACCGGATAGCTCTTCACACGTAACTGAGGAAAACGGAGAGACGGCCAACATTACTGCCAGCGTCGATATTCCTGCGGAATCTCTGGTTCCTGAAAATGAACATTGTAGGCATAGGGACTTATTAATGAGCCCATGATCAAGGCAAATGGCAAACAATATGGATTGAATTGACCGAATTGCAATTTTGTTGTTCCTTATGTTACGTAGAGATATCAACCTCTTNTTCCTTATGTTACGTAGAGATATCAACCTCTTGTTTAAGTTTCACATCTGATTTTAACTGTAAAGCTGTACAGGTGCAGGAAATGGGTAGTATGGCATAGCACAGTACTGTGATAAAGTTTCTTCAGTGATTTGTTAAAGGAAACACAGCTTATTTGGGCTATTAGAAATGAATCGATTCAAATTTTGGTCATTTTTACAAGGTGTAGACCAGGTTTATGATAAAAATTCGATTTTCTTGTTGGAAAAATCGATGTATAAATTTTATTCAGTTGCAAACTTGCAATGCAGATTATGGGATAGAATTTTGACTTACGGAAAGTAAAATATGTGAGTGAAAATGAGTAAAATAGAAGAAAATAAAATGATCAATTCAATGTATGTCTCCCAAGATACAACACTTATTTTAAAATTAATATAGCACATTATTACATTATAACAAAGTTTAACCGTACTATGATATCGAATATTGAAACTCGAAAATAATTCAAAAATTATTTCGAGAAAATTTAAGAAAGAAGGATTTAGGGACTATATATTTTGGAATTGATTTGGAGGGAATAAAATAAAATTATGACGATCATATATATAAATTTCTAGGTGTCTATACAAAATGATTGCATCTTTTGATACAAATTCATTTGCACAATTAAATCACATAATATCATGCATATTAAGACAAGATCGATTATCTAAATCTTAATAAATCGTAACTCTTTATTATTTATCCATTGCATTTGAAAAGTCACATTCAATTCACATTTCTGCTAGTCCAAAACCATCTCTCTTGCTTGAAGCAATCCGAACGAATAATGGAGTACAGATATGATGTCCAATTTTTTCTGTATACCCAATTAATTATTAACACATCATTTATAAATTAACATATCATCTAAAATTTATCATCGTTAACTTCACCACTAACCCACCAAATTGGTGACACTATGATTTAAAATGACGTGTCAATCACTAATTGGGTGAACAGCAAAAATTGGACATCATATCTTTACTCCTAATAATGAGTTGGTCCAAATAATGGGGTAATTGCTATACCACACAACATAATTTCAACTACCAAAACTGCAAAGAAAACAACTGCCATATTATTGAAACATACAATTACAATATTTTTCTATGTACATTAAACTCCTTTTTGGTTTAGATAAAAATTAAATATTTTTCAAATATTGATAAAAATGTACGGAATGAGTAATTTAGAAGTTAAGAATTCCGTAAAAGATGTAATTAAAATTAATTGTTAACATTTACTGAAAATTTAATTCAATTTCTTAAAATCAAACATGAGTTAAAATGACATAAACCCACTGGAAAATGCTTATCATTTACGAAAGGGTCATTTGAACTATCATGCAGTCCTCCGACTCCATTATTTGCTACTATAAATTGATTTAAAAAGCTATTTATAGAATTCAATACATTTATTTCTGATAATTTTAGGAGAAAGAT